TGTAATAATAATAATAAGAAGAAGAAGAAATGTAGATACGTAAATATAGAGAAATCCGACTGTGAGAAAGATTTAGGAGGGTAATGATAAGTATAAACCTAACCTAACCTGAGTGTAGTGAGAGAGAAAAACTAGATTTTTTGAGACGTAGCGATATATATATATATATATATATATATATATATATATATATATATATATATATATATATATATATATATATATATATATATATATATATATATATATATATATATAAATCACTGTAGGTGCGTGATCTAGGTATATGCTGATAACCACAAGGAAAAGAAAACCTAGTCTGTACTCACCCTGAAGATGTGAATTACACGAAAGCGCTTGGGAACTTCGTGTTTTCTTTTCCTTATAGTTATCATATATATATATATATATATATATATATATATATATATATATATATATATATATATATATATATATATATATATATATATATATATATATAAATTATCAACTCAGGAGCGAACACATATCAATGGTTTTTATAGTAGACAAAGTTAGATTTAGGAAGGAATTAGATAAACATTGGTTGTGACAATAGTGTTGTGGATGAGTGGAGCAAGTTACCAAACACTCCAACTCGCTGGCAGGTTACAAATATAGATTAGACAGATAAGATGGCTGCCTAGAATGGACCGATAGGCCTACTGTAGTGACCTCCATTCATATGTTCTTAAGAGTGTGTGTGTGTGTGTAATAATAATAATAATAATAATTAACGGTTTATTGAAAGAGCATGGCAGCGGGAAGGCTGAAAATATACAGTTACATAATTGGGGAATGGGTCCCTTGATTGACAAATAATATACAAGTAACGTATGTGATACAAATATGATATTTAATGACTAGGTGGGGGAGAAGGTCATTCTACAGGGCATTTCAACATAGTGACAGTGCACAAAGGTAAGATTGACAGGGAGTAAACACACTGGTTGATTACGAGTTGTTGATAATTTTTACAATGGTTAAGACTGGGCTGTTGTTATAGCGATCAGTACTCGTGTGTGTGTATTCTTCTACTTATTGTCTTAGCACTTTGCAGTCACTTTCTACTATTGTCTGTGAGGTGCTGATAAAGAAGCACTAATTGGACGGTTTTAACACCATTACGTATATATGATAAATTGCTCATTATATTCACTTGTTTACAAACAATATATGCTACACAATACTGCTCATCACGGTAAGTGGCTCAATAGTTCTCTTATTTTTAAACAATAACTAATTGAAGTAAACAAAATGAGTAAATAGTTTCTTGTTGAATATAAACAGCGGATGTTTACCTCTTGTGGCGCCTTCGAGTTTTTTAGAGGAGTGCCCGAAGGGTCAGTGTTGGCACCCATCCTGTTTATGTTAGGTGTAAACAATCTGCTTGACGCAAAGGTTAAAGGCAGAAATATACACTATATTAATTTACAAAAGACGGTAACGTTATTCGTTCATTGTTTGAAAAATATGACTTGAGTTATCTGGGTGTTTGAGTTACCTGGGTTTTTGAGTTACCTGACTTGAGTTACCTGGGTGTTTGTGTTACCCGGGTGTATGAGTGACCTGACTTGAGTTACCTGGATGTTTGAGTTACCTGAGTTTATGAAATACCTGACTTGAGTTACCTGGGTGTATGAGTTACCTGGATGAATGAGTTACCTGGGTGTATGAGTTACCTGATTTGAGTTACCTGGATGTATGAGTTACATGACTTGAGTTACCTGGATGTATGAGTTACCTGGGAGTATGAGTGACCTGACTTGAGTTACCTCGTCACCTGTACACCATAAGTCAGCTCTCCCTTGCTTACAGTATCCTCAAGTTACTCAACACGTAAGCACATGTTTTCAAGGTGTGTACACATGACTACATATAGCTGCTGTACACATGCTTATGAAGGTCATGTACGTGTATGTACTGTACTTCAGATAGTAATGTACACAAGCTTACAGTATCCATTATGTGTGTACACAAGACTGCAGATTGGCCCTTGTACACATGGTCTGAGCTTGTGTGTACACAAGGGAGGCAGATAGGCTAGTGTACAGGCCACGCAGGTAGGTTGGTGTGCAGGCCACGCAGGTAGGTTGGTGTGCAGGCCACTCAGGTAGGTTAGTGTGCATGCCACGCAGGTAGGTTGGTGTGCAGGCCACGCAGGTAGGTGGTAGGCTGGTGTGTAGACCAGACAGCGGCGGGTGAGAGGCGCCATATATGGGAGCTGGTGGATGGTGCCTCCTCTCTTTGTTTTGATCAGCGGGATCTGGGCTACGGGGCTACTGTATGGGTCTATTGTATGGTGCTACTGTATGGGGCTACTGTATGGGTCTACTGTAAGGTGTTACTGTATGGGACTATTGTACGGGGCTACTGTACGGGGTACTGTATTGTGCTACTGTATGGGTCTACTGTACGGGGCTACATTATGGGCTACTTTACGAGGACTAACGATTAAAAAATGCCATATACGTGTCAATACTGTGTGAGAATTATTGTGCAGAGCGTTTGGTAAGAAAAGATTTATTTCATTATAGTTGTAGTCTGCTGGTGGCTACTGTAGTCTGCTGGTGGCTACTGTAGTCTGCTGGAGAATACTGTACACTGTTGATTCCTACTGTAGTTTTGCCCCCACCTGTACGTCGTGTAGGGAGGGGGGGGAGACGACGCACCTGTGGCCGTTATCAAGCAACTGGGTCGCCTTGGATGACAACAATGGTAAAGTCGTGAGGAGGAATAGCAGGGAAGTGTGTTATGACTCTCATCCCCGGATATCAACCACCACCACCACCACCACCACCAGATACAGTGTTGCCAACTTTGCAGAAAAATCACCAAATCTAGGTTAAGGTGCGTTAAGGGTTGCTAGCTAAGGTTAAGGTGCGTTAAGGGTTGTAACACTTGGTGTCTCTTCTTCCTCCTCCTCCTGCTGCTCTTCTTCCTCTTCCAGTTCCTCCTCCTCTTCTTCCCACACACATATCTTAAAGTATAACTCAGGTCGTTGGAGTACACACACTCTGGGAGCAACAAGGGCATCTACCTTACGTTTACTCTTATTTTAACTTAACGTGAAATAGAACTTTAGCTGTTGCCTCTGACCCTCGTGGCTAAGCTTCGTCCATTATGGCACCGATATTACACTGAGACTATACCTTAATTTCTTACGTTCACTTAACACCATTATATAGTGCATAGACAACTGGACACCACAGGACACAATATAACACATTTGGGCACCACAAGACACCATTAGTTACCACAGGACACCATAGAGCACCATCAGACACCAGATACCACAGGTGAGGGCCGGGATAACTCTTTACCACGAAGCCGCCGAAGGAAATTAATTATACCCACCCAGATACCCACTAATTTGGGTATCTGGTGGTCGTTGGGGTAGGAGGCAGTTATACCCACCCAGATACCCACTAATTTGGGTATCTGGTGGTCGTTGGGGCAGGAGGCAGTTATACCCGCCCAGATACCCACTAATTTGGGGATCTGGGTGGTCGTTGGGGCAGGAGGCAGTTATACCCACCCAGATACCCACTAATTTGGGTATCTGGGTGGTCGTTGGGGCAGGAGGCAGTTATACCCGCCCAGATACCCACTAATTTGGGTATCTGGTGGTCGTTGGGGCAGGAGGCAGTTATACCCACCCAGAGAACGACAGTCAGGCGTGTTATCTTAAACTAGAACACAAAATTAACACCTGGGAATTTACTTTAACGAGATAAGTTAATTTACCATTAGTTAAGGGAATAAATTAACGTATCTGAGTTTTTGAGAATCCACACCTTGGTCGGCCCGCGGCTGCCAGACGTATAATTAAGGCTCATGGGATCTATGGAGCGCCAGGTTGCCAAGGAAATGCATTCTGAGTCATTATTAGGTGTGATTACGGAGGGAAAGTTTGTCTGTTACTTGTGTTGAGAGAGGGAGAGAGAGAGAGAGAGAGAGAGAGAGAGAGAGAGAGAGAGAGAGAATTTTGTGAAGGTATTGTGGTGGGTGGGATCGTGTGACTGTACACCCTTATGTGTACACGTGTCCGTAGGAGAGAGGCGGACGATAAGACAGGATACGAAAGAATGAGAGGATGAGGGAGTGAAAGAGTAAATGAGAGAGAGAGAGAGTAGCAGAGATTACTGGTGGTAGGATCGAGTCATCACCAGAACCTAACCTCTTGTGGGCAATGATCCTTTGTCATAGTGACGGTTGTGATGGTGATGATGGTGGTAGTGATGATAGTGAAGATGGTGACGGTTGTGATGGTGATGATGGTGGTAGTGATGATAGTGAAGATGGTGACGGTTGTGATGGTGAAGATTATGATATTGTCTGTTGTGTTGGAACTGTGTGTGCTGTAGGGTGATATTCATGCCTAGGGTGTTCATACAACTTATCATCTTGCTTTCCTACCAAAAGTCATCAAATATTTCACCTCTCTTATTTCTGTTACCCAACCCATGTGGTCTTAACTTCTGGTGCGTCTTCCCTTTGGCGTTAAATCGCCTATTAACAATAAGACTTTCATTAAATTTCATAGTGTCTTTTCCTTTCATTAAATCTTCATAAAACTTTTGGTGCTTAAACCTGTATTACCAAGTCTTCGGGTTTAACATTAAACTTACCTACCAGAACTATCTTACACTGCCCAATATCCCTTAAACCAACTGTCTGGTGTACAAGAATACAATAACCTCTCTCTCATGCTTTTCACCGCCAGTAATATATGAAGTAAATATCTAAACTAATGCTATTTGAACCTGTCTTTCTTACTTCACCTAATACTGTACCCGGAGTAGTTATGGACGCACAGTATGTGTTGTTGTTGTTGAGTTAAAGTATCAGTGTTGTCTCTCCTTTAATAGTAGTTGTTTACATGTGGTACCACGCTCACTGAGTGGCCCAAAGAGGCGGAGCTTGATGACGTCATGGGGGGGTATACGGGATCAGTGAATGAACAGAAAGTCAGTCGAGTTGAGGAGACGAGCGAGGAAAGGTGTGTGTGTGTGTGTGTAGCCTCTCCGTGAAGATGAACGAGCTCAGGCAACTGTGGACTGCCAAGGATTTTCTGTTACAGTGCTCCCCGCTGATCATATACCGCCATGTTCACTGCCAACACAATACTTTATAAGTGATGATGTGTGGTGCGCGTCTGTGAGAGGTGTATAGTGAACGATATATATAGGTGTTGGTGACAAAGTGGACATTGTTTAAAAATATTAACAGCAAAAAAAAAAAGTGCGTAGAATAAGGTATTACCGTTACTTAGTTTAACCTGTGATATAATAACCGGAGTAACTCTAGTCATTCTTCATGTGTACTGCGACATAGACTGTCTCTGTCAGACTTAATAATTAAGTCTTGAATAGAGGAACTTGATCACACAACTCCGCCACCATGGTTAAGGACTTCTTAACTCGGAGTAAAACACCGACACTTCCTAATGAAGGTGAGTAATCTGCACTACTGTATATTATAATAACTGTGTTACTTGATGAGCCTTCACGGAGGTCCTCCTGGAAAGCGAAAACCACCCAACTCCTCAGGAAGATCTTAATAGTCTTGTTTTAACAATAAATTTATTACGTGTGTACAGTATACAGCTTAAAGTAATCTTATTCTAAATAGTTTTCTCGTTAATACTGTATTCAACACATTTGAATTACCGATTATGAAATATATATATTTTTTTAGAATTTTACGTATACCCTGTATATGAAATTTTGATTGACAACTTAGTCAAATATACAGTACATAAATAATATAGTTAGACACATGACCCTTAAAGCTCTGTTAGTTTAGTTCATTTTCGCAATTAAGGAGGACGTCTCGGTGACACTTAGATAAACTTAATCTTTTATATAACAACAGGACAGATGGAGTTACATGTTGGTACATCAACCTGTGATGTTACTGTGTTTTGACTATATTTCCAGTACACTGAAAGTTAGTTGAGCTGTTTTTAACTTTTAACCTAAACTTTCCTCTCGTTATTGACCGCTGGTGTTGTGAACTTGTGAGTCAGTCAGCCAACCCCTCTGACGACGTGTTCAAACTTATAAGTAAGACGGTAACAACCTGGCCTTATAACGATGCCATTGTATATAATTATGCTCTTAATGGGTTTCTCGAGCAGTCATTGGTGGAGACTATTTATATATAACATTGTTTGTTTACCTCTGTCTACAGTACTGGACGAAATATTGTGAACTTGTATTGGCTAATTTACGAACTATTAATGCCACGCCGTGTGACAAGTCTCTAATAAACTAGAGCCACTAACCACCTCACTACGGGACAACATTTTAAAGCGTAGAGAAAGTTTAGTTTAACCTTCTGAATGTGTTTGCTTGTGGGGGTGAAAATATTCGTTCTTTCCTCACCAAGGTTCTGTCTCTTCATCTTCAAAGTCTTAACTGAAGGAAACCTATTTGTTGGTCAAGTATCATGTACAGTATATGTGTTGAAGTAGAGTTTTTTTAATAGTTGGTGAGGTGAGAGTTGGGCATTTCAAGGCTGCCCGAAGCTGCCCCCATGGCCAGTGTGTGTGCCCAACACCCCACTGTCCTCGGCTGCCACCTTACGGTTATCAGGATGGGTTGTAGGTCAAATAGGTCTTGTCATGCCTCTCATATCATTCCTATCAGACCCCAGTCCTTGTTAGACCCAACTCTTAATAGACTTCGTTCCTATTAGTCGCACTCTTAATAGGCTTTGTTCCATTTAGACCCCACTCCTAATAGGCTTTGTTCCTACTAGACCCCACTCCTAATAGGCTTCGTTCCTACTAGACCCCACTCCTAATAGGCTTCGTTCCTACTAGACCCCACTCCTAATAGGCTTCGTTCCTACTAGACCCCACTCCTAATAGGCTTCGTTCCTACTAGACCCCACTCCTAATAGTGCAAATATTATTCCTAAACCATTAATGTGTTATATGCAAACCATTAGTCTGTTAGTAACATTTATACGGTCCTCGTACATACTTACATACGTACGTACCTAACATGTCATCTCGGAAAATACTGTAGCATAAGGTGTTTGCACGTCCGCAGTGTTAGGAGTCAGTGTTATATTTAGCAACTCAAATTTTTCATCAAAGTTGTCACCTCTTACAACTCGTGAGGCTTTAAAGCTGTGGTTGTTCCTCTCGTAAGCTTCACATTTCCTTACAATTCAAGCTGACTGTCTCTCGCGCGGCACAACTCTGTTTCCTCCACACCATGTTAGCCCGCGTTCCTTAGCCAGCTTATAAAAATCTTGGTGGCGTAGCGTTATATTTAACCTTCCGTCGGTACCATAAAAGTGAGGTTTTCAACGCCGCCATACTTGAAGGTGTACCACCCCTCCTGAAGGTGTACCACCCCTCCTGACGGTTGATGCAGTGGGGCGTGGAGGGAGACAGACAGAGAGAAAGGGAGACACAGACAGAGGGAAGGGGGAGCGTCAACTTAAAGAAACATCTCGTCTTTTTTAACTGTGTGTGTGTGGATAAATATCCCAAGTTCATCTCCCGTTCTCTTTGTTGGTGAGGGCGACTCGCTCAGTGTGTTGCTGACGACGTGTGTGTGTGTGTGTGAAGATGATGGCTCTTGGTGTGAAATAAACGGAGAGTTTTGTTGAACCAACATAAATGGCTAGATGGTTATTTAGTAAAATCCTAGTACAAGTTCATCACGGTTCAGCATACAGTATACATAGACAGTCTAGATATACAAACAATGTATATACATGGTGCAGGTGTACAAACAATGGAATCACAGAGAATCTCCACCCCAGCTTATTTCACCTAAAGATTAACCGCGCTAACATAACCTATCCTAATCCCATTTCCCCAAACATTGTTAGCGTGATTAATATTATTAGGGGATATTAGCTGGGACGCGTACCCTTGAGGTGAGTCGTGTGGCCTTACAACATGAGTAAAGAGGGTGATTCTCATGGTTGCTTATTATTACCATGTAGCTCGACCAATTTATGATATTTTAAGGCTTACTAAGACTTATCAAGAGGCTGTTCTTAAGGAGATGTGTGTTTCCCCAACTCACCTGAAGTATTGTACATGTTTAACTACAACTGGAAATTCCATGTTAACAGTTTAATGTTGAGTGTGAGGGCCGGTAACACACTATCACTGCCAGACTTTAAACAAATCGTCCCCAGTTAAAGTGGTTTTTACCAGAGCATTGTTGCCATATTAGGGGATAAATCATTATAAAGAGAGTAATTTTGCAGCAGTACCAAGTTGTTGTACACACGACAAGGCTTTAAATCCTCCCACCCGCCCGTGTGTGCTTTTTGTTCCAGCAGTGTTGTCATCTTGTTGCGTGTTACTTTCCTTGATGTTTGTGTTACCTGGTTTACGAGTTTATTAATTACCAAGTGTTGTGAGGGCAATGTCGTGACCTTGGCAGTGTCCGGGCGGTGCCTCACCTCCTGGGTCACCGACTCGGTTCTCCTGTAAGTTTCTATTTTTTTATTTTTTTCCTCCTGACAGAGACGTGAGAATCACTTAACCTCAATACATTACAGAGTTTGAGTCTCGGGGGAACTTTGGCACCATTACCAAGGTATATTTTTATGCCATTAGTCAGTCAGTTGGGTGGTTATGTTAGCTTATCAGTCAATCAGTGCCAGTTTAGGTTTGAATGAGTCAGTCAGTTGGGTGGTTATGTTAGCTTATCAGTCAATCAGTTGGGTGGTTAAGTTAGCTTATTAGTCAGTCAGTTAGGGGGTTAGTTTAGGTTTTAGTCAGTCAGTTAGGTGGTGTTCTGCTTCATCAATCAAGAGGAAAATTCAACACATTAGAATTTGGACCATACCGCAGGCAGTCAGTTGATTGAGCGTTATTGACAGCAGGGGGCCCAGAGGAGGTCCCCGCCCCCCCTGGTGATGGGTATTGTTTTAGGGGCGGGGTGAGGGGGGGGGGCCACAGAACCCTCCAGTAATATCGGTACTCTTGAGAGCTGTTGTGATGACGTATTGAGTGAGGAACCTCGACCACGTGTCTCACTCACCCCGGGGTAGCTACTAGGCGGAGGCTCTCTCTCTCTCTCTCTCTCTCTCTCTCTCTCTCTCTCTCTCTCTCTCCAGGTCCTGTCTTATGCAGATCGCTGTTGTTTTTATTTACAGCCGTTTAATTCACGTTTATCGGCTCCCTCCTACACTTTATTATTAGTGATTTCCGCTGCAGTTATCTCGTCTCTTCTCCTTCCCTGCTTCTCCCTAGTTTCATGTTCTCTCTCCCTTTGTTTCGCCTCCCTGACCTCTTGTTCGTTTTACTCTTCTCACCCACACCCTTATCCCTCAATCGCGCACAGCACACGCGCGCCCACACACACACACACACACACACACACACACACACACACACACACACACACACACGTGCGCCACAGCAGTATATAAGTGACGTCACACAAAAACACACCGGAAGCGACAGATAAAAACAACGAACAAAAACACGCAAGGTGGAAATAAGACAAAGTTATCATTATTATTGTTACCATCACAGCTATCTTTATCAGCGTCCCAATCACCAGTGTGTGTGTGGGAAACTACCCAACCCCACCTTGGACTGTGTGGCGCCGACCTCCCCTCACGGAGGCGCCATTGTTGGTGACGCACAGAGGCCCAGCAGTGATACCACAGGTCCGTGGTGAGCCTCTACCTGTAGGCTGTCGTACAGTGTTAACATAACTGTCTCTAGTCAATATAAGCTGGGCAGCCTTTTATAATATGGGGTTTTTTTTTGAGGGGAGGGGACGTCTTGTGACGACATATGCCCCGCTCTCTCTCTTTCCCCTCTACCACGTCCCCCCCCCCCTCCCCTCTGTCTCTGTAAGAAGCGGGTCCCCTCGCCAGAACCCGCTCAGACACCCCTGGGAAAGGTTGCTGCACCACAGCTCTCCCTCCTGCAGCAACTCATACATCATTAACTATATACGACAACTTGATCACGACGCGCCAGACGGAGATTGTTAACACTGGAGGGTAGAGAACTTAGCTGTTGACGTCTCGTTAACTTCAGAAAACTCTGATCTCAGCTAAAGCCAGTTAGTTAGTTCAGAAAACTCGCCGGTTATATACCTAAGACTTTATAACTATTGTGGAGTCAGTAAGACCTGTGCCGGCGTCGGTGAGAGACTGGCAGGCAGCCGGTGGACTCCGTCATGTGTGGAGAGTGAAGTAGTGGAAGACTCGGTGAGTGTGTCCCCGCCACACTCGTCTAGAGTCGCCACCAACACTTCAATATTATTCACATCATCCAAGGTGAGTGAGCCTCTTGTTATATTCCCTTCAGAGACTCATTATGTTCCCCTCGTGAGTTCCCTCTTACGGCACTATACTGACACTCCTTATGTTCCCCTCGTGAGTTCCCTCTTACGGCACTATATTGAGACTCCTTATGATCCCCTCGTGAGTTCCCTCTTACGGCACTATACTGAC